TGAACAGGCTTCCTTGGGAGGTGGTGGGCTCTCCTTCTCCGGAGGTTTTCAGACAGAGGCCAGGTGGCCCCATCTGACAGCAATGTGGATTCTGTGACCTTAGGCTGATCATGAGAAGGGAGGGCAGGAAGGGTTGCCTCAAGGGCTTAGTTCTCGTGGCCCTTTCTTACACGCCCAGGGAAATGCTGATGGCCAGTTTGGGGTCAGGAAGCCATTTTTCTCCAGGCCAGTTTGGCCAGGGAACCTGGAGGTTTTTGGGGTTTTTTTTTTTGTCATCTTCTGGGCATGGGGCAGGGGGTCACTGGGCATGTGTGTGGGGGGAGGTATTTTTGAATTTCCTGTATTGTTCAGGGGGCTTGGTCTAGATGACTCTGGAGGTCCCTTCCCACTCTATGATTCTATTATTCTATGCTGGCAGATTCTTAACTCAGCCCTGTGGTCTCAGTTGCTTCAGGCTGCTATTGTTGGAAGGAAACCCACAGTCATTTGTCCCACTGGGCATCCGGACACTAGCTTCTTTCAATAAGCTGAAACGGCAAGCTATCTTACGTAAGGATTCCTTTTTTGCCAAATTTGCAGGTTGGAGACAATGTAGGGTGCGAGCTTTGCCTTTTTGAAAAATGCTGCCCTTTCACAGATTGTTTGGGACAGACGCTGCCAGTATGGGCAAAATGGTTTACCCATTCAGAGTGAGGGCACTGCCTCCTGAATTTTTAAATGTTTTTGTAATACTATCATACAGCCAAATCTAATGGGATACGTGGCCTCGTCATCCCAGCAGTTCAGCATAATAAGGGCAAGAAGCATGACTGGTACTCTGAACTGGCTTTGTGACATCATGTAGCCAAATCTGACTGACTTTGCAGTGCAGTCACAAAGTCAGTTCAGAGGGAAGACATGAAGCACCAGGTTGGCAAGACTGTGATTTAGGGAAAAATTACAGAAGGAACACACCCAAAGCTGGGGAACAACTAAAATTTGGTTCAATCAATGTGTTGTGAGCCACTGCTCTGTATCACTACTAAAAATACATGCATGAAAATGATTTCATCAGTTATCAGTATTAATACTTCTCAGCTACACAAAATGCAGACTGTACTGCAACATTAATTGCTGTAAAGTTTAGCTCTTTATTTTAAAGAGTTTTCCAAATGCATTTTAATTATTAAGATATAAATCCCAGTAGCAAGTCCATCACATAGTTTCCAAAATCTGCCTCAGGCACATTCTATTCCACTGAAACAGCCTTTTCTTCTTGCTGCAGAAACAACATTTTCCTGCTTTCAAAGGCATGCACATCTGTAACATAGGTAAGCCATTCTAAGA